AGGTCTTTTCTCCAGAGAAATGAGTATATCATCACGAGTACGTCATCCTAACCTGGTCCAGTTTATTGGTGCAACTAAAGTGGGTAATCCTCTGATCTTGACCGAGCTGATGAGCACTAGTCTTTATAAAAAGCTTCAGGAGACCCAGTTAACCAATGAACAGATTCTTAGTATTGCTCAAGATGTAGCTTTAGGCCTCAACTACCTTCACCTGTTTAAGCCTCAGCCTATTATTCACAGAGATGTGAGCAGTCCTAACGTATTATTAAAGCCTTGCACTGGAGCTGCTGGTTATGAAGCTAAAGTAGCAGATTATGGTACAGCTAAATTACAACAAGGCACTAGTACTGGTACTGTTATGCCAGGCAATCCAGCATATGCTGCACCAGAAGCTCCTATTCCTGATTATCACAGTCCAGCAATGGATGTGTACAGTTACTCTGTTCTCCTTATGGAAATGACTTTGTGTTCTCCCCCAGAAATGACGACAGGAGAGAGAGAAGTACAATCTGGTAGTGTGTCCTGGTCTGATATGAAGTCTCTCATACAAAGAGGACTTAATGCTAATCCTAGAGCTCGTCCTACTATGGCTCAAGTAATAGAGTCATTGAAAAGGATGAAGATTTGATTAATTGTTTGTATTTTTAATATTCTAATTATTAGTGCTGCCTTTTAGTTAGTTTTCTATTATTTGGACTTAGTATAATTATGTGTATTTTCTTAATTTGCTTTTCTTGAGTTAATGTTGTATTAACTCTAAAGCTGATGCAGAGGGGAAAGACATTCAGGGAGGGTTAAGAACCACTGACCCAGTTCAATTCTTATTAAATGTTGCCTATTGTTAATTTATCTCCGCATTTTGCTCTACTGTTTGCATGTGAAATATGACTTTTTTAAAAGACAAAATCAAGTTAAAATAAAGATTGCTATGCCACTTTATCCTTCAGTTTCAAAATTTTTATCATAATAGTGGTAGTGAAGTGCACTCAGTGAGGGTGTGTAAATTGTTAGCAGTGGATAAATCTACTCCATTATTAGAGTTTCCATACTGTAGTACATCTTTCATCACTATTTCTTTAATTTTTGTACTATAGGTCAACCATCAATGTATCTTGCTAATTATACTTGCATTGTTGTACATACTAGCTACATGTATGTTACTGCTAGTCTATAAAGTGAAAAAACTTAACCAACATGATAATTATAGAAAAAATTACCAAGCATGAAGAAGACAATAGGGAGTCAAAGTGAGAGAGTACACAGCTAAATATGATCATAAAAGCTAGATGCATGTAAAACATGCATACTTGACAAGATTAATCTAATCATAATAAAAATAGCAACAATGATAACAAAAGATCGAATACTAGAAGGTTATACATAATAGATCAGTGTTATGAGACTACCATTAAAGACTGCAAATTAAGTGTTTACCTATTATAGCTGTGTATTCAATAAAGGGAAAAGTATAGTAATCCTCCAATTTATAAAACAACCTAAATTAACTCACCAAACTAACTTGAATTTATTGTTAAAATCATTTAAATTGCCTATACATGTCTTTACCTTCAAATAATGTAGTTACTATAATTGCTAATAGCTGCTCCAGGCTTCCTTTTAATTTTACTCGCTGCGTGGGCGGCTGACTTCCTGTATCCACCCACGCATTCACTTCTAACTCGATACTCGCGGTATATACTCCTACTTTTATCGGGTCCCATTTTAACCAGTGTCCGGAGTTATAATACAAGCTAATAAGAGGAATCCCTATCGGACCCCTCGAGTGGGCCCAGAGTGGGCCTGTGCTGTGCCAGCCTAGAGTGCCAGCCAGCCCGTGTCCTCCATTGGAAGTCCACAATCAATGGCTTGGTTGATTGGTTCAAAGCGCGGTTCAAGGAATCACACAGGGAAAAGTAAGTACTATTGCATTCACCTGAGGCTGAGTGTAAAATACACATACCAATGCATTCCTCTAAGTAGCTATCCAGCGAAGGGGCGGGGGACGAGACTATAGCTACATTAGCTCCGGTTGGTATAAAAAGTACAGCCATAATTATTTTTCACAATAGAGGAGTTGCAGGCACTTCCAGCAGATGCAGATTGGAGCCTGTAATTAAGGATGATGGTGTGGCTTACTGTCAGCCATCTGGTGGCATCAGGTTTCTCATGCATAGGCGGCGGCAGGGTCGGGCATGGACGGGCAATGCCCGACCAAAAATTTTGACCGGAAATGAAAATTTAATTAATGACATCATTTTAGTCATGAATAATTACCATGGCTAGCAAGAGACAGTCTTTTCTGCTTTCCTTTGTCAACAAGCCTTCCAGGAGGACGAGGACTAGCACTTTAAAGGTTGGATAGAGCTTTACAGATAAGACAGGAGGCCTTTTAGGTGTATTTTTATGGTATAACATATTGTATACGTGCATTGAGTATACGCCCAAAATATGCAGGGAAAAGTGGGTGTGGTCAAAATCGCAGCGCGTTTCACGTGCCATTTTTTTGCCCAACTGATCTTCAAATCCTGCCGCCACCTATGTTCTCATGCAATCAATGTAAAACATTTAAAGGGGCTCAGCCCGCAAGCGACACTATTATTGTGCTGTATGGCCTTCCTTGCAGTTAGAGAAGTTTTTGGATAGCAGTTTAAAAGTCTTATCTTGCTGACCGCTTACTGCAACTGAGCATAGTAGCCGCCATTTTATTTCATTGTGACCACACCCGCTTTTAAGATTAGGCTATTTGACTTTAATAATAGTTAGACGGTCTAAACTCAATCTCATCTTAGTGGGCTTCGCCCAATTACCGTATAGCTCCAAATTTTCGTCAGTCAAAATTTTTTCCAAATTCATCAGGTATTTTTGCTTGACGAAATTTTTAACCGATGTAATTTTTGTTCCACGTGGGTAGTATGCAGATTAATAACAAAAATGATGAAAATTTTATTGATGAAAATTAATTTTCACAAGAAATAAGATATTGACGAAATTTTTGACTGACGAAAATTTGGAGGTATGCAGTATTCAATGTTTTAAATTGTGTGGGGATGGAATGTTGATCTCTATTTAAAACACGCACACAAACCACAGGCAAGTTAGAATAGTGGATTTGTAGTGGATTTATTATTTTACTGATTACTCAACTTGCTTGCTGACATCAAGAAAAAAGGAAGCAGCAATGTAAGTTCATTTTAGCTTTTCTTGGCAGTCAACATTTGCTAGATACTGAAGTTGGACTTGGAGCAATCAATGGTGGCTGAATGTATGGACATTTTTACGGCCTTGGAGCAAAGCCCCAAGGTCGTTTCTAAGATTGAATTTAGCCCCGCGATGTATAATTGATTGATTGATTAATTGTATGTCAACACTTAGATTTCATCAAATCCATTTTGGTCAGTATTGCCCACAACTATCACTTAGCAACATTCCAGCCCGTGCCCGGCCTGAGCCCCTCATGTAAAGTGGGTGTGGCTCGGCAAATAAAATGGCGGCTTGGAAGCAGAACAAAGTTTTGAGCTTTCTAGCAAGAAGAACAAAGCAAAGATGATGTCCAAAAGACTTGTCAAGAATTACTAGAAGGTAGAAAGAACCTTTATAAACCCCCTAGGCGCTAAGATTATTTTCAATGAATATGATTACAATAATGATATTCATTCATAATAAATAAAATTTTCCTATACGGTATCCACCCACGATGTAAATTACTGACGGCAAGAAGGCCTCGAGATCAAAAGAAAATCAAAGGCGGTGACACCGCCTGGCCATTTTTCTGAGCGCTACAAGGTACTACAGGCTTACAAGCAGCATTTGTGGAAGGTATGGAGGCCAGACTACATCATATAGACCAGGTATAACTGTTACTGCAACATAGTTTTCTTGCTATGCTTCATTTCGGCACCTTGGGCTTTGATCTGCCTTTGATGTGGAAAGCTTCTTGCCGTCAGTAATTTTAATCGTGGGTGGCTACCGTAAATAATTCATTCAAAATAGTCTTAGCGCCTAGGGGGTCTATAAGTCTTAGTAAAAAGAAATAAATGCCTAATATGCATGCAAGGTGGTGAAATCAATCTTAGGATAATTTTTAAACTTTATACACTTCTTTACTTTCTTTACTTGCTTTCTTTACTTGCCTGATTGACTCACCATCAGAACGTAAACAGCCGGGTAATCCTTGATTCCTGCAATAAATTATCAAAGTTTAATTATGTGGTGTGAGTGGTTTTATAATGTAACCATGGTAACAGTGCTGGATCTACTGTAGGGTGCCTTTTTTGAGGGCTGTAGGTTTTGTGGATTTAAATTTTGCATATTTATGCCGTCTGCTGTCTTGTACTGTATTAATTTAATTTTTGAGGAAGTAATTTTTGCGAATCTTAAAGAAAATCACGAAATCTGCAAAATATATAGCCCTCGAGAAAAGGTGCACTACGGTATTTAGCAAAAGCAAGCCAAGCAGCTATTTTACATATTGCATGACTTCTGACTTTTGTAGTAATTTGTAGCATGCAATTGTTGAGAAAGTTACTCTTGATAGTGTATGTTCCCCTCTAGATATTTCTGCATACTCCATCATGCTATCTTGCCACCCAAGATGGGATACCATATAGAGGATATATTTTACGGGGATTTAATTTCGCTAATTTCATGGTTTTAAAAAATTTGGGAAAATTTTTATCCACCAAAATTATTTTTACCATATTAATAACGGTCAGTAGAAGAAAAACGCAAAAAATTTTTCCTGTGAATAGGCGAAAAGGTGATTTTCATGAAATATTTCCCCAGGAAATATACCCCCTATACGGTATGGCTGACATTGAGCCATACCTCCCGTTAATTACTTTCTGCTGCAACTCCTTTATACAAGACTATTGCATTGTGGGTAGGGTCTGTAATAATTTTATGCATCAGAGACTATCTAACTAGGATATGAAACTAGGATTATCCCTGTAGACAACATTTTGTGATTGGATTGGGCATCAAATAAAAGTTTGACTGTGTGTCTTCTGGCTTGCTTTTTATGCGGAATAAATGATTTTTTGGTTATTAAGTAGTCAAATGCAATTAATGCATGAATGAAAATAGTAACCCCCAATTTTATCCATAAAACATCACCCGATATTACTTATCCATTTTAGCAAATCATTAAATGAAACTGTGACAGCTCCATGATCTTGTTAGTCTATTATTACCAGTGTGACAAAATACCATATAGCTGGAAAATTTGGTGGTCTAAAAATTTGGCAGTTTTGCATCAAATTGCCTAAATATAATATTGGTTGTCTCTTAATTTGGCGGTTTACCATCTTGCCTTTTCTTTCAGCACTCTCAGCTCTTCTTGAAGCTGCTCCTTGGTAGTCCTTGCCCACAGTCTTGACTGAAATAGTGAGAAATACTCAGAAATACTGTCATTTTGGCATTTTTAGTATCATGTGCTCATGACAGGATCCGCCCATCATTGCAATTATTGGCAGTTTTATTTTGAACCGCCAATCCGCCAAATTTAATTATCTGCCAAATTTTCTGGCTATACGGTAACAGGTACATAAAATTTTGAAAATTTGCAACTAACAATATTTTTAAAATAATAATAACAAAAAATGACAAAATCATCATTAGTTTAAGTACTGTTTTTCTTGCTGAGCAGCTATTTTTGACCCCTGTCACCAAAATTTATTGATAAGTCATTCCGGGTGGATGATATTCAGATGATACATGGTTTGAATCGATCATGTGATCTAGTTTCCTATACCTGTTACGTAGTCTCTAATGCAGACTATGTACTGCCAGTCAATGATTGATATTTATATAGATCATCCGAATAAAAGAGCTCACCACCGCACTTTATCAGTACTAGTAGGTGATTCACTGTATGTATGGGGTGGTTATGAGGATGGTTCACTCAGTGTACATGATAGTGAAGGGAAGAGAAGGATCACTAGTAATATACAGCACTTTACTCCTTCAACTGGTCAATGGATCACTAGAGCTACTACTGGTACTCCTCCATTAGGAGTGAGATGGTACTCCTGTACTGCAATAAATGATCAATTGTATTATTTCGGGGGATGGTGTGGCCATGATTTCTGCTATCACAACAGTATTGCACAACTGGATACCGTTAGTCTTCAATGGAGAGAATTAGAACCAACTGATGCAACTAGACGAGTTATGATGAGAGGTTATGGTGGAATGATATCATTTGAACATGATGGAGTACACCATTTACTAATGATAGGAGGATTTGGATCTAAACCAGCTGTACAACTACCTCATTATAAGTATCGTAAGTTACTCAATGGAAGATGGCGTACTAATGAGCACTCAATGTATAATCTATCATCAAGTAAGATTTTATATTACTGTTTGAAATTATGTTAATAATAATTTAGAAAAATGGAATAACCCTTCAATCGCTGGTCAGTGTATAC